GTATAGAGGAAAGCACCACAGGACGAGCTGCCTATTGAAAAGAACTGAAAGCTGCATTTTGTAGTGGATATTTTCTGGATTCTCTCTCAACCTTTACAAATAGATCACAGCTGGAGTAGTTGCAGAACTTCACATCTTTGGGGCATACTCAACAGGGGCTTTTAGTATAGATTCATTTTTCCTTTTGCTGTCTCAAAAGGAATTGAAGTTTAGGTCAAAAAGAACATCTGACTGAAAGTACCCAAGTCAAGATAGCAGGACAATTAAAACAGAAAGAAAAGGGGGAGGATAACAGCAGGACTCAGCAGTCACCAAAGCATGGTAACCTTTGTTGTTGAGCCTGACCTCTTTGCCTTTCAACTCCCTGTGTTGTTTTTATATTTTGGGAACAAAAATAACTGGAAAAAAAAGAAAAGGGGGGGGGAAAGAAGAAAAAGCAGACACTTAAGAATACTATTATAGCTCTTTGAAATGGGTTATTGGTATTGCAGTATGAATGCTATTTAAACATTGTTTTAAAATGCTAATTTTCCATTTTTTTTAATCTTTTTTCTGAATTGAGAAGAGATATACCTGGGGAAAAAAAACACTTGGCATGGGGTGATTTGAAAATCACTGTCTGTCCCTTGATGTCTTCATCTGACAACATCTATATGTTGCCAGGTTGCCATGACAACTAAGTACAGTTGTAATTGCAACCCTGGAAAGGTAATTCTGTCACTCAAAATGTGGCATACATTTAGCCTGTCTGAAGTTTCAAGAAACCATCTTTTAATGACAAGTATTTTGAAAGGCCTGAATGAGGTAGTTTCTTTGATGTCAATTTTTTTTATTATCTCATGTAGCCTAACTAGAAAGATATGTTGGCTTTTATTCAGTGGAGTCTGTATTTTTTAACCTTTTTATGCCTTATTTGAGTTTCAAATATATGGTATCAACTGTAAATCTGGAATTAACATATGAAAGCAAAATACCACATAAAGTGTTCATTGACTCGTATTGGCAGTTGTGAAAGCAGAAGTTCTTGATACATTCCTTATGCTTACTGTCCTTTGGGTTAAATCAAATGACTTTTGTTGTATGGCTGACTGTATTTCCTTAAATTGAAAAAAAAAAACCAACCAAACAAACCAAACAAAAAACAAACAAACAAAGCCAACAAAACCACAACCAAACAGCAAAAAAAGCACACCCATCAAACTCGAAAAATAACTGCAAGTGTTTCTACTCAGCAGGCCACATAATCTTTATAGTAACACAAAAGCAATCTTAAGAATCAGCAAAACTGCAGTAATTCTAAGAAATTTCCACCTGATTTGTATGCCTGCAGAGGGAAAAAAATGTGTGCATATCTGAGCCATCTTATTCATCTACAATCCTGGATGCTGAGAATTGGCAGCATTGGCTGCACTTTACACTGTTAACAGTGTGACCTGTCTCTTCCATCCACGATGACATACAGTCTCTCACCATCCATTTCCGTGGCACAAGGAAAGTAATATGACAGTCAACTACACGACTTTGTAGTAGAGGAAAAAGTCATCTTCCTGGGATGTTTTGGTTGTCATTTAGTGCTAGCATATTGGGCTTTATACTCTCTGAGGATATAAACTAGCTTTAGAAAGTAAAAGAAAATGTGGTACTAAGCTTTCCACATTAATTTCATCAAAATGTGGTATGACTCCATGAGCACATGGTAGGAACATTTCCTAGGTTACTGAGTTCTTGCTCACTAAATGATAGTACTGTTATTTTGGATCTCTGGGATAAACCGGGCGACTTTAGCCTTCAAATTTGTTAGAGATTCAGTGAAAACTGAACATAATCCCACACTATTTAACTTCATATGGGATAAATGCCTGCATTTATCTGCTTATTTGTCTCGGCGATCCCCAACACATAAAATCACTCTCTGTAAGACCCATGCAGAGATGTTTGGGATTTTTTTTTCCCTTCCCTGAAATACGAGAGCAGGGTGGGGCTCTGAATGTGTTTTAAAATCCAGCTGATTTTGCTACCCCAGCTTTGCCTTTCCAGCATACACTTCAATAGTCAGTTAAATAGTTTAAATGCATCAAGGCCATGTTGTAGTTCAATCCCAGCTGGCAACTAAGCCCAACACAGGCACTCACTCACTCTTCCCCCTGAGTGGGATGGAGGGAGAGAATCAGAAGAGTAAAAATGAGCAAAACTGTCTTTATCTCAGCCCACAAGTTAACAGGTAAAGCAAATACCACACACACAAGAGAAGCAAAGGAAGGAATTCATTCACAGATTCCCATGAGCAAGCAGGTGTTCAACCACCTCCAGGAAAGCAGGGCTCTATCACAGATAACAGTGACTTGGGAAGACAAATGTCATAACTACAAATGTCCCCCTTCCCCCTTCCTTCTTCAGCCTTCTCCTACAGTCCCTTGAAGAAGGAGGACTTCAGGGTGTTGGTTGACGAGAAGCTCAACATGACCTGGCAATGTGCATTTGCAGCCCAGAAAGCCAACCACATTCTGGGTTGTATCAAAAGAAATGTGGCCAGCAGGCTGAGGTAGCTGATTCTGTCCCTCTACTCTGCTCATGTGAGACCCCACCTGGAGTACTGCATCCAACTCTGTTGGCGCCAAACAGAAGAAAGACATGGACCTATTGGAGTGGGCTCAGAGAAGAGGCACAAAGGTGACCTGGGAGCTAGCACACCTCTCACATGAAAAAGAGCTGAGAGTTTGGGCTGTTTGTTCTGGAGTAGAGAAGGCTCCAGGGAGACCTTACAGCAGCCTTCCAGTAAAGGGGGCTTAAAAGAAAGATGGAGAGGGACTTTTTACAAGGACATGTAGTGATAGAAGAAGAGCAAATGGCTTCGCACTGAAGGAGGAGGATAGGTTTAGATTAGATATGAGGACGAAATGCTTCACCATGAGGGTAGTGAAACACTGGCACATGTTGCCCGGAGAAGTTGTGGATGCCCCATCCCTGAAAGTGTTCCAGGCCTTGTTGGATGGGTCTTCAGGCAACCTGGTCTAGTGGAAGGTGTCCACTAGAGGGGTAAAACAAGATGAACTTTAAGGTCACTTCCAACCCAAACTATTCTATGATTCTATGTTGTACAAAATATCCCTTGGGTTAGTCTTGGTAGCTAGCTGTCCCAGCAGTGCCCTCTCCCAAATTCTTGTGCACCCCCAGCCCACTCACTGGTGAGCTGGAATGAGAGACAGAAAAGGCCTTGACTCTCTAAGCCCTGCTCAGCAATAATGAAATCAGTGTTTTTCCTCGCACAGCCCCATATAAGCTGCTATGAAGGAAATTAACTCTCCCTCAGCCTAAACCAACACATCCTGTCTTTTGTTTTTTTCTTAATAATAGGTCTTGTAAGTCTAGACATCTATGATCATTTCAGAAGGACAAGTCCTCTGCAATAACTGTGGCATTATGCCAGCTGACTTGTTTCTTTAACTATTTTTTTGTGCTTTAACTTATTCAAATAATTTTTCTTTGGCTTGTTTTTTTTTTTCTCATTGCCCCTAATGAAACAGAGGACAAAACCATGGTATTATTCACCAAAATAAAACTTGAATATTTTGAAACAAGTCACAGATGCATCCCTTGAGATGTTCTAAAGCTTATTATAACCAAAGTACTGAACTAGGCTTTCAATATTCTAACACATAACACGGTAGTGTGTGTATAAGTTGCAGAGAAAGAATCATGATTGTTTAATTTGAAATAATCCTTTTACCTCTGAGGCCTGTGCTTTGCATAGATATGCTGTATCATTTGAGTATTTTGTGTGATCTGGTAAACAGTGTTCTAATTGTTTTTGCAGATCACTAGTTTAAAAAGCTAGGCACACCTTCTACACATGGTAGAAAACAGCCATTCTGTGATTAAAAGATATTGAGCATCAAGCACGTAACAATACCAACTGGTAAGGCAAGTGGAGTGGGGAAGGGACAGCAATCCCCATGACTCTTTATGCATCTTACTCTGAATATCAATATGGGGAGATATTCTAGTGCTTCTGAATAAACAAACTAGGGTGTGCTGGTGTAATTCAGCTCAGAATTTGCTGCCTAGTATATGTGAAATATATGAAGTGTTTTATGTTGAAAGTTAATTTTCTGCACTGGAAATTTACCTAGTAAATCCCCCATTTACTTCCTTCCATAAACTTTAAATACTCACTTTAGTACACAGGAAGGTCAACAAGGATCTTATATTCTGGTTTCTGGTTTATGCTGTATTTGTTAGTTTTCCTTTCCTGAAAGCCATTGAGATATAAATTTGGCCCAGTATTCTTGCAGAAAAAAAGGTTGTATATGTTTTGAAAGCTAGTTATGACTATGCCTTTGATTTCTTAGTCCAGTTGCTACTGTTTCCTGGCAGAGTCACTCTGTTGTGCTTTCAATGTTTAGAAATTCTCTCAATCCCGTAGTAACTCCACACCATTAGTTTGTTGGTTTGGATCTTCACCTACTGCACTGTTGTGCTGTGAATTTTCTCCTGGCCTATGAAGGGATGGAATTCTCCTTCTTTGCTTCTCTTTCCTTCTCCTCGCATGCTTGCTGAGTACAGGTTCTTGCCTTCCCTTAATGAGAACTGTGCTGTCTGACTAATCTTGAAATCACTTACATGCTCTTGTACTCTGTCTCCTGAATTCTCTGTATCTGTTCAGAGTTGAATAGTAGGGTATAATTTATACATATGTTTATGTTGCATAGGATTAGAATGTAAATTTTTCATAGCTTGCACAGGAAATACAAAAGTGGGAATCCCTTTAGTGTGCTTTCTCAGTTGCCTCAAGGTCCTTCAAAATCCTGATTCAAACCCACTTGTTTTCCCCAATTGTTTGACCCTGTACTTAAACAGGACTCCACCTGCTAAGAAAGCAGGTTTTTCACTTTCTGTATTGTGCCTATGCTCTTTAGGGGCTTGGTTCATCTATTGTTATTGTGACTTCATTGACCACTTCAGCTCTCCTTTGCACAAAGTCTTAGACAAACTTGGTGCCCACCGAGGCAGCTTGCTTAGCCTGCCTGCCCTCGGGTTAGGGCAGCAATGTCGAGAGATAACCACTTCACCTAAGCCTGCTTCCCACAGAGATGTGTTACAGTTCCCTTTCCCACAGGCACACACTCCTCCTTAAAGCAAATACATGTCAACATCCTAATGGTCCCAAGAATTTATAAATTATATATAGGCTGCCTGTATCATCTTATTTCTTCTTTGTCAAGGAAATCTCATTAGGAAAGAGGTAAGCTAGTCCTCTGGGTGTCCTTCTGATGTTTTGGCATCTCAGTCACAACACACCTTATAATCCTTATTAATTGAGACTTCAGCACTCACTTAGTGTATGGCCCCCTATCAGGAAATCGTTTTAGGTCAGTTTTCATCTCCCTTGTGTAAATCTCTTTTCTTGTTACATGTGGGAAAGCTGTACAGAAAGAAGCACTCATAGCTCCCACTTCTCCTTCAGTTCATTCACCTATGAAATCTATGTTTCACACATGAATATTAAAAGAGAGGATTTACATGTCGTAGGTGTGAATTAACCTGTAATGCTTTTGCAAATCTCTACATCTGTGTGATCATTGAGGCAAATGGGTGACTGTGGTGCCTGTATGAAAGAGAAGCCACTTATATGCACTTTTATCATTACTGTAGAGCCTTCTTGAAGAGGTTTGGAGTCCAGAAGCGTATTTGCCTGCCCATCAGGTGGGACTTCTAGAGTAACGAGTATCTTTTTTGTATTGCCCACTCAGCATGCATAAAGAAGTTGTTTCTCACATAGAAATGTGATATAGAGATAGTGCCTTGCATACTCTGTAATAGTTCTGGTCTTTAATATGCATACTGCGATTAATACAGTCCTCACAGCCTTTGGTTATAGATGTGGAAATGAGCTAATCTGTAAGAATCAAACTTTCAAAATGTATGATCCATGCCTATAAATCCAAGAACCCATTTTGGTAATGAAATATATGTTTGAAGGGAAAACAGTATTTAAATCAAAGGGTCACACAACATTTTCTTGAAATTATAATTCAATAAAGAAATTTATGTTAATTAGCATTTAAATCTCTCATCTTGTCAGCTCTGTGTGGTGCCTTGTTTGAAGTGAAATGTTTTTTAACAGAATCTCCTAATGCAAAATTTGTTTTCCTTAGTTCTTTGATGTTGTTGTTAAAGGGAAAGACATAAAAAAAAAGCTTTTTTTACAATAGTAGTAAAGGAGGGGAATTGATTTGATATTCGTATATGCAAAGCCCCAATGGATTTATCAAGAACTCTGACCTCTCCTCATCAAGAATGGAGAAAAAATGATTTATTTTTTTGTATTATAGTTATACCTAGAGGCACCTTCCAAAATCAGCTTTATCATATTTGACATTATACATGTCAGTAAGTCACAAATAGGCCAGGCAAAGATTAAAGTAAAACTGATGTTGTGGTAAGCTGTCCTGTCTGGATTGCTTTGAGAAACTGAATGCAGCAATGGTAGCATCAGCTTGAGATAAGCTGAAGGAGGGAAAATGGTGACAGTAAAGGCTTCTTACAGGCACACTTATACTCCACCAATTTGTACTTCTTCTGCACTATATACTCCTAATGCAGTGTAGTATAAAAACACGTGTGTGGAGGTTTGACCCCAAAAATCCAATCTCCAAGCCCTCCCCACAATTTGCCTCAACACAGAAGAGGTTTTCAGACAGGCACAACTCAGCATGGGAGAATCATATCAAAATTTATTACTAACACGATAAGTACTATAGAAACTAAAAAGCAAATAAATACACAGTATTAATACAATCTCTACTACCCCTGGGGGTCCTCCCCATCAGTTCAGAAGAAAAGCCCTCCCGGACGATAGTTAAAGTCTCTCTGTCATTGGGGTATCAGGGAAGGGGTCTTTTGCACCCAGCTCCTCAGCTTCTGCTGAGGTCTCCTCCTGGACTGCAAAGGAACATTTGCTTTACCAGGTCTTCATCAGGGAGTCAGCTTTGAGTCCTTTCTCCCTGGTTCATGAAGGTTCCTCCCAGAGAGTAAGATGTTCATTCTTTCCTCTCCAGGTTGCAGGGTTTCTGGGTCTTGCTCGGTTTTTTTATACCCCGAATAGTTTTCACCAAAAGTCCTTTCCCAGAAAAAGCCTGCTTAGTTTGGCTTCTCTCTGCTCCAGCTGCTGCAGCTTCTCAGCTTCCACATGTCATGCGGAGGCATCCCTCCCCCTGCATTCCTCCTTCGGTTTTCGGCTGCCCCTGCCCAAACCTTGTGTAGGGCCTCCTTCAAGCTCTTCGTCCCGTCTCTCCGTTGCTCAGTCTCAGCTCAAGGTTGCTACCTCTCCCCCGCCATTAGGGGGGGCAGAGGGTAGCAGCGAGACTGCTTCGGTCTCTCTCCTCTGCCTGGAGTTCTTCCAGCTCTGTACGATCGCAGCTGCTTCTCCAGCTCCAGACTACCCTTCGACCCGTCTCTGGCTCGGCTCCAAATGCTGTGCCGGCCTGCCAGGGGGGGCTAGCTCCAACCCCCTGGCTGGCCTCTCCAGTCCACACCACCGCCTCTCCTGGGCAGTGGGGGGGAGAAAGCCCCCTAGCCTTTGACCACAAGCACCTGGTTCAGTTTCAATACTGTCCTGGGCTCCCCGTAGCCTGGCCGGGGGGGGAGAGAGGGCCTGGCCCCCTGCAAGGGGCCCACAGGCCTCTCTCCTCTCACCTCATGGCTCTGAATCTCTCTCATACACTGCCAATGACTTCCTTCTGGCTGTTGTAATATGCTAATTTCACAGGGGCGAAAAACAGCTCCGATTGGTCTGTGATCGGAAACTCACCTGGGACCAACCACTTCCAGCCCCCCCTGGGGGAGGTGGTGGGGGCGGCTCAAACCACCACAACGTGCTTTAAATGCTGTGATAGTACAGTGCATTGTAATCTGCTGTTCATCTTCTACGTGGCAGGTGCATAAAACAAAGTATTCCAGGTGTAACTGAAACAGAAATAATAAAATATGCACAAAAAATATTAACACGAGGATGTGTTTGTTGGGGAATGTATGTGTGCATATAGACATTGTATAAGTCATAAATAAACCAAATTATATAATATAATATGCAAAAGCAGCGTTAAAGTAGCCTTGTGAAGGTCATCACATTTAGCTTTCACGAACTAGGAGGTGTTGTTGTGAAGACTTTCTTCCTGGTCTCTATTTAATCTTCTTTTCCCTTCTCCTGTTCATTCTTAGTGCACAGTTCCTATACCTGCTTTATTGCACGTCATTCAATTCCCGTTCAAAGAAAACAATTTATATCCTTGTGAGTATTCTAAGTTATCATTACACAATCCAAACATTTAAATGTTAATAAACCTGTCACCAATACTACTGTGAAATTGTATTGATATCATTATCCTCATGTAAAGATAATTTTATCGCAAAAAGCACAAAAAAACTGGATTATGAGTAGTAGGAAGTCTAGAACTGAGGCAAATGGGTTACAGTTTTATTTGCCTGATCCAAGATGTCTGGGATTGTGCTTCTCTGGGTATTGTTCAGTTCAAAATATAGCACCTGCAGGGATCCACAGCTAAGAAGTTTGGACCTACATCACTTCTACAAATTGGAACCAGACTCTTAGCTAAGAACCTCAACAATGTCAAACACAAACGTTTAACCAACTATGAAAGTTAACATTCTCATTTGTCCAGTATTCTGTCTTCTCACACAGTGAATATGCAATTAAATTCACCATGGCAACATCCTTAAGACATGACTCATTTTTTTCTGCAATATCTCTCCAGCTTTCAAAGGGACAGCCAAACATGAAACAAATGTCACAACAAAATCATGGGTGTTAGTAATCTTTACAGATCCCCAAGGGGAAGTAAACGATATCCAACTGCATTTCACATACATAGTCAAGTAAAACAGGTCAATTTTAAAGATATGTTATGCAGCTAGCAGCCAATGTGACACATCATTTTATTATCTGCCTTATGTCATTGTCAGGAATGAAAACTGTAGGACTATCCACAAATGATGACTGAGTTAACAGAGCACTCAACACTAATGGAAAGTTATTTTTCTTTAGATCAGACAGAAGAACTGAAGGTTTGGTGGGGATGGCTGGGTCTTGTGTTTGGGTTGGAGATTTTTTTTGTTGGGGGCTCTTTTTTCATGGTGTTTTGGGTTCTTTGTTTTTTCTTCCTGAGACACAGTACAGAAGACAGTTGTTTAGTCTTAAAATCAAAATGGCCTGTATCCTACTTTAATTTGTCTATATTGAGCATATTGTTTTCTATTTTAAAGAGAAATTAAATTTTGATGGTGCATACTGAAAGTTTTAAAGCTTTTTCTCTGAAATTAAATATAACAAAAACAGATAAAAGTTATATAAACTCTGGGTTTATCTTTTTTTTTTTTAATATCATAATTTCTTTTCAAGACGCCCTGATGACTCTTGAGTGGGTATAAGAAATCATAAGTTAGGATAAACTTGATGACCAGATTTGAAAAAAATAGAAATCTACATTAAAATAGATTCTTCTTCTCTATACATAGCACAGAATTAACTAAAATGCAGGATGCATCTGGAGACTACTTCAAATGTGTTTGTATTAAAGGAAGTTTCATTTCCAGTGATCTTAAATAATAATCAATTGCATGAAGCTTTAAATTTCTAGATGGATTGGTTTATTTTGTTTGTGTTATTAATGATGAATTGCAGTTGCATTAATGATGCATCTTCAGTCAATAAACAGCTTCCAGCAAATATTTGAAAACACTAGCAAATCTGTTGGTATTTTCCAATAATTAATATGTATTGTATGACATCTGATTTTCTGCTCAGAAATTTTCTCTCAAAATAGCAATTATTATAATGCGAACTTTGTGTGGAATATCTTTTACTAAGAAATCTGATAATTATTGGTTTCCTTATGATATTAAAAATTTTCCATTAACAGCTCTACTGTTTGTTAACTTGACAATTTGAAATTTTCAGTCCTCCTTCACATTCTAAAGCAGCTCTAAATGTAGTATGATAGTGCTTGGGAGCAGTGAGTGTAGAGAAAACATCTCACGGATCTGTTTGTGAAAAAATAAATTCTACTATGTATTGCTACTCCCAGGTATTTTGTCTCTTTGGATTAGGTTATGTTCCATTTGAGTTTCTTCTTCCTTTGCTTGCTGTGTGCTGTAAAAATGTTAAAGCATTCAGGCTATTTTAATAATCTTTTTAAGTACTGCTAATACTGTGTCGGTTAGCTGATCCACAGTGGAGCGTTATTAGTCAAATGAGTCATTTCCCATGTTCTAGTAATAAGTGGCATATTTAGAGATATTAATAGCATCTTCAATTTGGGTTGGTGTTGCGCTGTTATTTCAGTATATGAGTAGCTTGAAAAAGTCAAAAAGTCTCGCTTCCTTGGGAAGAAATATTTTTGTGATCTCCAGGCAAACCTCTGCCAGCAGTGTGCTTTGGCAGCGGGTACCAGGGGAGGCACAGAGTATGCTCCCTGTTGTTGGCTGGTTTCTTCTGTTGTGTCATGCATTTGTGTCTTTCAGTCTGTGACTTCTGCTTAGGTCAAGGGCAAGCTTTGACAACACTGTACCTTTCTGTGACTGGAGCTAAAGGCTGTCTGTTCAGGCTTAAAGGAACTAATTGTAGTGTTAGTATGGTATGTCAAAACATTTGTACAGTCAATATTCATGGATTGTTTAATATAGCACTTGCTTTTAAAGTTTCCTCAAAGTAAGGAAACCCAGAACATCACTGATTGTATTTGCAACAACCATCAGCACCGCTGCCTATGGAGTTATGTGAACACCCACTGTCTGCAGGAAATACTGCGGTTGTTCAGCTCTTGCTCTGTCCAATTCAAAAACGTCATTATTGTCAGACAACACATCACCATTAGTGTGACCATTTAGATGGCAAGAAATTTTTCTCTTGTCATAGGGTAATATGTTAAATAGAATATGTTAGTAATGTCAACCTTAAAATAAAAGGGTTTCTATATGTTTTGGGTTTTTTTCTATTATGTAGCAAAAGATCTTTCCCCTGAAGGTCAGATACTCCTCAGTAGCATTTTGATAAAGAAACTTCTTGATTACTGCAAGATCTGTTTAGCTTAGTAGCACCAAAAATATCTATCTCTGAATTAGTGAGAAAACTGTAGATCTACCAGAGCAGTTTAAACATTTAGGAAGCGTAGCCAGGCAGAAGGGATATTCTAGTGGTTCTGGGGCTGGAAACAGAGAAATGCTTGTTCTCAAACTTATCTTTTCCAACCATATAGTTATGCTGAAGGTCTGTTGGCTTTCTGTACCTGTCTGACATCTATATGTGAATCTGTTTTGTGTCCACAGTCAATTCCTTAGTATTTCATTTGCCTACAAGCATAAAAACTTTAGGAATATGTTGCTTTCCTCTTTGATAATGTTGGAAATATAGGCTCAGTGTTTTTAATCTCTCATTAACCAGGAGAGTAAGGAATTTTGCAGGAATGCTATCTGAATTTAGTTAATTGCATGTGGAGGATAAATCCATATTCTAAACACAGCCCTCAAAGGCCCTAAGTTTGAAGGTACCCATGCTGTGCCTACATAATTCAGACCAGTATCCTGTGTGGACTATATGTGTTACTTTTAAAGCTAAAAACTCATGTATACTTGAATCTAATATTGCTAGTGGCTGTGCAGGTAAAAAACAATTAAGATTTTGTATTACATCAGTATGCGTTGTCGTGAAAAAAATAAAATAGCAATAGTTTTTCTACTTGTGACAAAACTAATGAATTCTATGACTTTTTTTTTTTTAATCAGTTCATGTGAATTTAGATTCCATAAAAAATTTTGGGAGGCTCTTTTCTCATGTTCTTCTTGTAATTCTTGTACTGACAACATGACCTGTGTTTCACCTCTTCATTGAAAATGTGGCTAACAAAATATATTTATAGATGGATGGATGGATAGATAGATAAATCTACATATTACAAATAAATATTATTGCATATTCAATTAATTTAAAGGTAGAGGTAATTTTTGAAAATACTATGAATGTGATTGACTACATCTGTAGAAATGATATCATGCTTGAGGATTTCTGAACTTTAGGGGAAACTAGGAGAAATGTTTTGCATGCTGAAAGTTGGAACACTTGCTCATATCATTTAATACTTTTGCTACTGAATTATATGAAGGAAAAAATAAAACTAAATGCACCTGAAGCAAATACACAGAGTTTAGAAATAATCAGAAGATACTTCTGTAATGCTTTATCGATGTTTATTTTCTTCTTGGGATAGATTTTATTTTTTGGGGTCTTTTCAGCCAGTTTATATGGCAATTATTTGGAGTTCAGTCTGCCAGATAAATAAGCAGAGGAGTTAAAAGGAAACTTGCTTTTCAGTACCTCAAGAGACTTCAGGATAATTTTCCTTTTTAACCCTCTCAGACTAAAGGAGCTGAAAATATGCAGGGAATTGATGTGCTGGCACCCCAGAGAAGGAGAAAAGCTGCACTTCTTTCTTATGTCACGGAAACACTCCTCTGTGGGCTGAAGGGATGGAAGCTCAAGTGGAGAGAGCTCACTTGGCACGAAGCAGGCAAACGTAGGCTTCTGCAACTTTATCCTTTATGTCCAATGATAAAAAATTTTGATTTGGAAGAATACATTTGAAGGTGCCTTTACTTATGCACTGGGTGGGTTGAATGAGGAAGATCCAAAGGCCCTTAAGCTTCAGTTAAAATTCCTGAAAGACAGAATACAGTCTGAATCTCTTGTCTCTGAAAGCAGTTAGGGTAGCTCATGAATAATTTTGCATCAAATAATTTTTGAGAGAGCACAGTCCTCAGGGCAAAAGACTTTAAATCTTGATTAGATTCAAGCCTCATGGGTTGGTCTTGAAATAAATTTATGTATTCAGTGCTAGAAATTAAAAGAAATTGCTGTCTCTTGAAAAATGAGAGTCAGCATGTGTTGAAGAATCCCTTTAATTATATTTCTAGTCTACATTTTTTTTTTAAGTTCATTCAGCATAATCTTCATTGCTGCCTCCAAAATGAAACTTACCTTAGTTAATTGGCTGCTGAAAATGAACAGGATCTTACAAAGTTGCAGCATGACCCTTTCAGCGATAAGATGGGCAGTGGGCTGTATCCTCTATGCAGAGTTATCAGGACATGCATATTGCTGCTGACAAATCTTGCTGCACTTTCCATTATAATACTTGTTTTTCTTCTGTCTGTATTCCAGACAAGCATGAATATTTGTATGTGTTTTCACACACAGCTCTGTCAGCATATTTTGTCACTATACAAACCCCTCTTATTTCTTTGCAATATCTGCTAAACATCAAACAGCACAATGTTTTTTTGAGGTAAAGGTTAGATGACAGTGATTTGTTTAAAGCCCACCAAACAAGTCTTCAGCTTTAGCCAGAAATGTATTTTTAAACTAGTTCATGGTGATAGACTGGCAGAGTAAGTAGTACAGAAGAGTCATAGGTGATATTAAAGTAATAACTTGGTAATGCCATTTTTGTTATTGAACTGCATATCAAGTTGCTATAGAAATTATCATTAAAAATAGTTTAAAAAATCTTTTGTTAAACAGAATTAAAAGGCTGAGGAGTTCTGATCAAATTTAATTGCATGATTTTAAATACTTTAGAATAACTTCACAATAAGTTATTTAAAAAAAGATAGGTCCTTTGTGAAAAATGTTATTAGTGGAGTCCTTGAAGCAAGTGCTGGAAAATGGCTTTTCCATTACTTCAGAGGCAGCATTAAAGTACCATGAAATTCAGAGCTTCTGGTTTTATTACAGACATTTTTATACTACTATTTAAGCATTTCTCTAATAGAACTTATATCTAACAGCCAGCACTTTAAGAGAACTGATATACCTGGAGAAGGATCACCAAATGATCACTTAACAGCAAGTTATAAACCCATCAGTTTTTCTAAGTGTTGTAAATACTTTATATCACTAACTTATATTAAAAAATGTATTTGGTTTTAATTAAAATTTTAGTGCACGTAGAACTTGCTTTTGTAAAAGGAAGTTGTAAATTTAGCTGACCTGAAGCTAGTTATTGGATCTTTCAATTTGTTTTAATCAGTTAGATTGGCCTTTTACAAGTTAAATGAAACTATTAGTTTGTCTCATATAAATGAATAAACTTCCAGAGATCATTCAATTATGGTACTTGGTCACAATAGGAAATTTTCTTTCCTATTGCAGTGTCATCTGCAGTCTGTTGAAGAAAAGATTTGCATTTTATTCCTCTCTGGAGACAGGTTATAAGAAAGAAGAATTAGCAGGTAAAATGGAGCAAGTCTGAAATAAAGCACTTGTGTTGACTGTCCACCCTACCATCAGTCTTCCCTTGCCAGCAAATTCAGTGAAGCAATATTTTTTCAGACCTGCAGATTATTTAAGGTAGCTGTGGCTGATGACTCCAAGAACACAGCTGCTAACACCTGGGTTATAAATAGGGGTAACTGCAGAGGAAGAGCAGATACATACCTGTCTCCAAGCCAAAACATTTTATTCAAGGAGCATTTTCAGAAAAAAAGACTAGGACGATGGGAACAGTTTCTAAGAAATATGCTTAAATGGCACTGTGCCAGGGCAAGGCAAGAGTGGTTACAAAATAAGAGCAAAGACTTTGCTTAATATTCAGAGTTATGGCTTACAGGAATCCTAAATGACAGAGGAGCTGGGCAACTCAAGAGATTTAGATGGGCATTGCCACACATCTTGCTATGGCACTTCTTGAATCTTAAATAATGACAAAGGAGAATGGTGTTACAAGCCTCTTCCTTTTGTGAGATATTTGGTGAGCTTTTGTGAGATATTTGGTGCCTGCCTAGTACAATGAGGCAGGTGTATTGTTCTTTTCTTCCATTGCTGGTCAGATGACTGCTCTTTGAGTATGTTGGTCACTGTTAACATTACAGAAAAAACTTATTATATTATAACCATAGTGCTTCGTTGTCTTCTCTCACCATGATAAAGGACAAGGCACAGTGAAGGCTTGGTCAGTGCTTGGTTGGTAGGTCAGTTGATTGGTTGAGATGATTCATAGGACTGGTTGGTGAAGGTGAAAGGGGGTAAATGATTGTGTTAAGAGAATATTGTATAAAGTTTCTTCTCTTGGAAAAGTGATAAATCTGATGTTTGATTGCTTGGAGTTTTGACATTCTATTTCACCTTTCATAAGGTTCTTTCAGAAGTAACAACTACCAATGTGCAGACCAAATTTGACTTCAGGTAATTGTCTCTGACTGTGTTGCAATGCTTCTAAAATAGTGTAATCACATCCTCCTGAAATATGGTCTGGTGTTATTGCATTTTATAAAATAATTGTTCATTCTTCCCTAAAGCATATGTATTGAAGGAGAATAGGCAAATTGCTTCTGACAGAATAATTTTAGGCAAGCTAGAAAGGAAATAAAGTTGCCTAATGCTTTCCATTATTGAAGTCTTCTTCCTGTAGCTTATAGTTTTACCAGACTTAAATTTCTGGTTTGGATTTTTCCATGCTTGATCTCTGTCTTTTTTCAGAACATTTTTTTCACCATATTACAAACAAAACTTGAGACTGCAGGTATAAACTCTTTACACTGAACAAGGTTCACAGATATTCCATACAGCTATAATTATAAGACTAGATCATTGGAAGTAGATTTGCTTTGAATTGGTGGACTTAACTCCTAAAATTTTGTGAACTCTTGCATGGTTTTAATAAGGTGAAGTATTTCAATAAAATGGATGTGGCAGTCTTGTGTTTGGATAAGGTAAGAAGTACCTGAAAACTGAGAAGTCAAAAGTTACCAAATATTATATTATGTATAATGTTCTTTCCAGAAATTTAAGGTCAGTTTTTAGTATGATGAATTCATAAGTTTGAAACAATTTCATTTGTTTAGTCACCAAAAAGCTAGGGGAACTACACAGAGGAAAAGCAGTGGCCTCTGTTTCATTTGATCACATTATTGTAGTTGGGAGGCAAAGTTATTTAGATTAAAAATTTTTCATTTTCTATGAGATCATATGAAATATCCTTGAAAATGTAATTCCAATGGACTTAAATACCCTTTGATGGATGAAAAACTGACAAGCAGTAACCAAAAACTACTGAATGATCAATGAGAGTGAACTGATTATAGGAAGCAGGATCCATTGTGGGCAACACCAGTTGTTGGTACCCCTGCTTACGCTGAGCGAAGAGTCTCAGTAGTTATTTCTTGCAAAAAAATGCCATGTATTTATAAAACATATAGATTATACTAAACTGGAAGAGGAAAGAAGAATTGAAACCCCAAACAACTATTAATACAGAAAGGCAATAACAAATTTAAATTTGTTATATGACATAGGGAAGAAAAACAGATGCATATTTAGTTTAAAACCAAATCTTGTCATGGTGAGGATATCTCTTTTTATAGTAAGGGTATACAGTTTGGCGCTATCAGGCTCTAGTGCAACAGCATCAAAGCTGCACAGCTTGGTGTTACAAAGTTGTGCACTGAAAGAGGAAATGACAAGTTGAACCTACAATAATGCATCCTTGGTTAGAGATTGATCTCTAACTTGCAGAATAAAGAAGTCCGGAAGTGCCTCAAGTCCACAGCATTCACATTAATCCCCTTTAGTGATGCCTTAAGCTCCTATTAGTTTTTATTTTTCTAATTTTTGTAAGCTTTATAAGTTTTATAAGTACTAGAAGTAGATTTTAAAAGCAGCAGCCCTTGTCCCTCTACCGTGTAGCACCCTTTAGTTTACAAATTCCTTAACCCTCTTACCCCATTCTATGTATCCTATATCAATCCTACCCCCAAATCCAGTAGAAATGTTTAGTCTTTTGTCAAGGCAAGGCCTGTTCTGTTTGGAGAACGCTTGTATCTTGGCCTAAACCGCAGAACAGAGTCAAGAACTGGGTGACCATCTACCCTTTGTGCTCTGAAGATGGTGAAGATGATGAAGAAAAGCCCCCAGACCCAATTCCTAGGGGGTGGGCCAGGGGTGGATCAGGGCAAAAGTAACAGGGTGGACACACTTGGGATTGGACAGAGGGGGTTATAAAATGTAACATCTCAGGTGCAGCCTGCGTGCGTCATGTAACGTCTCTTGCCTTGGCACAATTAAACCCTTTCCTTATCTCACCCTCAATTAACTGCTTCTGAGTTTTTTCTTAGCACCAGCTGAGCAGGCATCATTAGAATGACTTGATGGTGTTCCTGTTGTGTATTTGTTGGTCTCCCCCAGACTACATAGGGTACCCCTGCCACTCCCAGACATACTTATATGAGCATTGGGTGTGGACAGAAGGGGAGAAGCTCAGTTTGTAATCTTAAATAGAGAGAAGGCTAAGTCACAGCCCACCAGACTGGTGGTTTATGGCATAATGGTGAAGGTGTGACAGCAGGAGAGCTGGTCCTGGTAGAAGGTGACGTTAAATGGTGCTGCCTTATTCATACTGCCCCTTGGAAGGAAAAGCTGAAGAAAATCCCCACAACCTCACTTCAGTTGTGTCTGAGTGAACACTTCCTTTTTCCTCAAAGAAAGAGACACAGATAGTCCCTGAAACATGACCCCTTATCGGGCTAGAAATCTGTGTTGTTTGGTGGCATATGTGTATCTTCACAGTTGTTTGTGTGGGCTGGAAGGACATTGAGTCTAATTGTCCTTATATATCACTGTAATGATATATAAGTAATGGCCTACAAAGATTGATTAATAAATATGCTAAATGAAGATAGAAAATCATGATAGCTTGTGTTGGACTAGTTGCAAAAAACTTATGACCTGATGGATCGTTGGTCTTTTATATATATCTCCAATGTCTTCCACACCATTGAGATCAACTGTGTATGCTATATGCCTTTAAAAAGCCAGAAGTGACTATACTGGAAAAAAATGTCATCACTGTGATGATTATTGTTCTTCCCAAGCTAATGTGGTTGCTGACTGTTAACCTGAGGATTATTAGGTATGGAATCAATGATGTGTGCCATCTGTAACAATGTAACAACTTAAAATGGCAGAAAGCATTAATGTCTAACACTGAATATTAATAAAAAGACTTGCATTAGAAATACTGTAGTTGACAGAATCAAGGTACTAATGAGATTTACATCTAGTTCTATTAATCTCAAATATCTAGGTTTTGTTTTAGAATCTAAAATAGAGATCTAAATCTAGATAGAAATTCCCAAGGTGGAGCATCAGTGCATATTGTCAAAATTTAGCAAACTAAAAACTTATGGACGTCTTTGCAAAACCAAGACAGCTTTTTTTCATTTGGTTTGGGGTTTTTTTCCTTTTTTTTTTTAGTCTCCACCATATTTCCCATCTCCATTTTAGAGTGGAGCTTTTGCTGCAATGAGAAGCTGAAATGGGATAAATTCTTTGGACAAAAAAGTCTGTTAAGCTCATTGGTAAAAATGGCTACTTGAAAATATTGTTATTATAGTTATAGAATCATAGAATAGTTTGGGTTGGAAGGAACACTTAATGGTCATCTCCAGTTCAACCCCTTTGCAATGAGTAAGGACATGTTCAACTAGATCAGGTTGCTCAGAGCATCATCAAACCTGACCTTGAATGTTCCCAGGCATGGGGCATTTACCACTAGTCTGGACAACCTGTTCCAGTGTTTCTCCACTCTCATTGAAAACCTTCCTTACATGTAATCTAAATCTACCCTTCTTCAGTTCAAAATCATTACCCCTTGTCCTATTGCAATAGGCCCTGTTAAAAAGTTTTTCCCCACCTTCGAAGGCACCCTTCATGTACTGAAAGACTGCAATAAGATCTCCACAGAGCCTTCTCTTCTCCATGCTGAACAACCCCAACTCTCTCAGCCTGTCTTCCTAGGAGAGGTGTTCCAGCCCTCTGGATCATCTTCATGGCCCTCTTCTGGACCTGCTCCAACATATTCATGTCTTTCATGTGCTAGAGACCCCAGAGCCAAACATGGTACTCCAAGTGGGGTCTAATAAGAGTGGAATAGAGGGGCAGAATCATCTCCCTTGTCCTGCTGGCCACACTGCTTTTGATGCAACCCAGGATACAAGTGGCTTTCTGGGCTGCAAGCACAGATTGCCAGCTCCTGTCCAGCCTCTCATCCACCAGCACCCCCAAGTCCTTCTCGGGAGTGCTGTTCTCGGTCTGTTCATCCCCCACTTGTATTAATACTGGGGGTTACTCCACCACAGGTGCAGCACCTTGCACTTGCCTTTGTTGAACTTCATGAGGTTCCTATGGGCCCACTTCTCAAGCTTATCCAGGTCCCTCTGGATGGCATCCCATCTTCCAGGTGTGCCAACTG